TATTTGCGGCTTGGGCGACATTCGTTGCCCTATGTACGGCGGACGAATTCGCCATTGAACAGCGCATCTACTGGCGACTTGACTCACTTCAGGACATAAGCACGCTTTCGTCGGGCCCCCGCCTATTTTCGTGGCCTAGGGTCGCCGACATGCAATAATCAAAGTCGTCCATGAACATCAAATCACTTAGGTGAGCTTTCATTTGTCAAACACATGGATTGCGGACATTGCACCATGATTCTACACATATCAATTCTCAACAACGGCATGTGTATGCTAATCTAGGTGGATAAAGTACTTCTGCTTGGACATATTTAACAAGCAGACGTCTCCGCCGTGGCGCGTTTGATACCATTTGGCTTTGATCATTGGCGAGGGTGAAACTTGACACGTAAGCCATCTCTTGGCCGTAAAGTGACTGCCGGATTATGCTAAGGAACAGCCTCATTTTCAAGACTCGCGAGTGCCTTTCCCTTGGTGACCACAAAATGACTCACCAGCTCTACGAGTAGAGTCTTGATCTCCATTATAGCATATTGCTTCCCGATGCAGATCCGTGGGCCATTGGAAAATGTCTCGATGCCGTAAGGACCCGCTGCTTCTCCTGATAGATTATCCCATCGTTTCGGGTGAAATTCATGAGAGTCTGGTCCCCACACTCTAGGCGATAAATTGGTGACATACGGCGAAAGCACAAGCTTGGTGCCCTTTGGTATGTGGAACCCGCATATGATGACGTTTCGGGTTGCTTCACGGTTGGTGAAGACAGCTGGCCAGAACGAGTAAGCTATTGAATCAGCATGACACGCGACGGATAATTGACGAACCTGGACTGTAGAGCCGAAGTAATTCACGCACGAAATTATGGAGATAAGGAAGCCGATCTACGGTTGTGTAGTCTCGGGCCGGATTGTTGGCGCAAAAAGTACTTTGCGTCCTGGAGCTGCTTCTGGACGCGGTCCCACATGTTCAATCCTGTGCCTACCTACATGTGCCCCACGCTGGTTGAACAGACACCTCTTGCAGTTCTCAGAGGCAATTGATTAGCTTCGTGAAGAGGACTAGTTGTTGACATCAATGGCGAACGATGTATCAGGTAGAGAGTGAGCGACCGAAAGAGGTGAAGAAACGGACCATGGCACGTCGACCAGGGAGTGGCCGTACGCATGAAATGGCCTGGAGTTGTTTTGGGGTGGTGCAAATTCATTGGAGGAGCGACCGGAAGGAGCGCTGTCTGGATGTTGAGCTCCTGTCAAGCGACGACCTGAAGTCGAATGAGGCTGATGGTCGGAATCTGCGGGGGTGCAGGCACGGAAAGTTGCCTGCAACTGATTACAGCCACTGGGGCGCCATCGGTCCACTGACAGCTTGGGCCACAAGTCCTGCGGGTCGTAATTCGACTGCAGGTCGTGGCAGGAAGTCAACATCCAAAGCGAATTTCCTTCTGGTCACTCTCCAGACGGACTGAGCTCATTTCAGGAAATGTCCATTTCTGTTCATTTGTTGGCCCAGTGGCCTGCTTGGCGCGCCAGAGTTAATGGACATTTCTAGCCACCAGCGCTTCGGTCGCGTTAGTCGACAGAAGTGTCTTCGCGTTTGGAGCGGGTCTTGCATGTTCATTGTCCTTCTTGATGCTTGCGCTGTTCGATCCTGGGTCAATCTCCCCCGTGTCGGTCTCATATTAAATTTCAGAAAGTTGGAACACCTCGGGGTAATGTGTATCGCAATTGGTATCATTACGCCACAGCTATTCTTGAATGCCTGTTGGAGTCGTGGTATTAGGCTCGTGAGATAAGCCTCCGCTATGGGCCTTGCCCGATAAACCTTCTCTGCCCCATTCGACCTCAGCTCGTCGCGGGGCAGGAAGTCGACCTCTAGTTCTGGTCATTCCACAACTGACCCTTGTCATTTCCGCACATGCGAGGACTGTACCCTGTTGTCTACGTGCCATGTACCGTTTTGAGATGCGTTCTATTTTGGCCGCCCAATCCTTGCGCCCGTTCTAGCACGACACGTTCAAGCCAGCGCGGAGGGCAATTGCTGAGACCCGATGCTCATACAAAAGATCAATGTGGCGCTGGCGCTATGTCACCATCAAGAGCCGCATAAGCCAGGACTGTCTTTACTTTCTCGTGCCTGGGCTTTAGGAGGATGCGAAAAGGCATCGGTGATCTCCCAGATAAGCCATCATACTCCTTGAGATCAATTGGATGATCTGGAACAGGCTTCATGTCAAAAGCCCACAGTATCCTAGAGACGGTCAACCAGATCTCCTGTTCTGCTACCTGCATGCCAGGGCATATGCGGCGTCCGGCACCAAAGATCCAGTGATCACGCTGATACGGGTCTGGCTGTCTAGAACTCTCTACTGATGTAAGATTGTCGTGCAAATAGCGATCCGGCTACATGTAAAGTTGTCAGTTCAGAAATTCTTGCAACGCGCAATGTACGCTTACATTGAATTTGAATGGCGCGGGGTGCCGTATCTCATCATGGTGCATTGTCCAAGTATTGAGGACCATGACCGTGTCCTTCGGGATGAGCTTGCCTTGGTAGACAAAGTCCTTGGAAGCAGCATGCGGGGTCCCGAGCCAGAAAGGATTGTGGCAACGCTGCACCTCTTTGATGATGGCACGACAGAAAGGTAGACTTTTTTCATCTTCCATTCCCGGAAGTCGTGATCTCCCTACGACACTGTCTAGCTCATACTGAGCTCGCCGCTGAATTTCAGGATACGAGGGAATCAGGGCGCAGAACCACTGCATTACGGCGGCGGTAGTCTCCACGCCACCAACCATGAAAGATGTAGCAAGGAATGTGATGTCAAGATCATCCAAGTCTTCCTGCTTGCGAGCCTGGAGCATAGACTTGGCCAGACAATCTCGTATGTCTTGCCCTTTTTGTATACGTTCATCCATCTCCTTGATCATGCCACCGTAAGTAGAAACAATATCTCGGTGAAGTCTGCGTCCGCGCGAGCGTATGCTGGTAGGAAAGTAGCGTAGGATAGGCACATGGTCAACAAGGTTTGAAAAAGGTCCTGTCGTATTCCTAGGGCAAGATCAGCGGCTGCTCACACTACGGTGCTGCGACTCTCACATGAACTCCCGACTCAGCCTAAGCGCCTCCTTCATCATCGGGTCATGGATCGTACTAGTCCGTTGCCCGAAGACAATGCCTAGCATGACATTCAGGGAGCAGCGTCCCGTGAAGGGCTGAGGGTTGACAAATTTTGCCCCATTCCCACTTGCTTCATATAGACATTGTACCATGTCGATACTCTCACGCTCGATCGCAAGAACGTACTTGGCTGTCTCATCTGCTCGAAGCCAGTTGGTCACCAAGCGTCTGTGCTTCTTCCTGTTGTCTTGTTAGACTCTCTTTGTCACAACAGGATGTAGTACGCAGAAAACAGACCACGTATCATTGTACGGCGTGGCGGTCACGCCGCGACCCTTTAAAATAGTTCGTCCCTTGATAAACATCTCTCTGCGCGAGGAGAAGACAGAACCGTGTGTAACCATCAGGTCTTTCGCCACCTTTGGACTGGAGATGATCATGAACAACTGGCCGCCAAGCCATACAGAATACAGGTCGCCGAATTTCCGAGCCCACTTGTCTAGTGTCAGTTCCGGATAGCGAGTCAAGAACGGGAAAGACCCTTTTAGGCGTCTGTAGTTAGATACGGCGTCAATGTAAATGCTATGGTGCCACGCACCGAGTATTGGGACACCCGAAGGCCCATGAGGTATTGTCTTGGAACTCGCGTCACAGAGTATCTTATGATTCAGGAGGATGCAAGAAATGAGGAATGTAGCAACTGCTATTCCCGTGCTGAGCAGGGGTTTGATGGTATCCATGACTTTGGACTGGTCGTCAAAGCGCAGGTGCCGAGGCTGATACTATATGGATAACTTCCAAGAACGATTGTTGAGTCGAACGTGGCATGCTCTGCATTATATGCTTAATGCGAGGAGCGAGGATTCCGCAGTGATGGGGCTGATCTTATGACTCCGTTTCGGTGACAGCCTGTCTTATACTAAAGGTAATCGGAGCTAGTTCGTCTTCCTAGATCCTGCCGTCCACTGACCACTGAAGTGTAGGATATGCACGTAGAAAATGGTATCGGGGCCCAGAAATAGCTGCCATTACAGTGTGTGGGTTGATCTTGTCATTCAAGTGTGGGCCTCTTGTGAACTCGGCTGGAGTGCGTGAACCACAACTGTCTTGCGTGCGTGTCCAAATGCAGAGTCCGGTCTCCGATACTAGCTACCAAAAAGAGCTTGCCATAGCTGAATCCCAAATTTGTCATGCATCCTTTTGAGGCCCATCTTTTTTTTGATGTCTGGCTGGGAAAGAACGCAAGATGTCCTATCAAGTTTCCCACATTTGCCAGGACTGCTGAGTACTGCGCCCAACGTGTTGCAGAACGCCAAGCGTCGAGCGATAAAGGCCCGCCTATCGACTTTTTGGATCATTACATCGAAGCCAAGAGGCTCAATCCGGCAACTGTCACGGATAATGAAATCATAGGATATCTGATGATCAATGTTCGTCATCCTCCCCATAGGCAACCCCTCCCCCCCAGAAGTTCAGACTGTCTCAGACGTACTAACTTGCCTGTCTGACTGTAGATCCTCGCTGGGGCAGATACTACAGCTATTGTAACGAAAGCTATCGTATACCACGTTCTTTCCAACCCTGCAGTTCACAGCCGTCTTCGTGATGAGCTCGATACAGCTAATCTATCATTTCCAGCGACCTACAACGAGACCAAAGATCTTACCTACCTTGACGCCGTCATAAGGGAAGGCATGCGCATTCACCCTGTTCTTGGAGGTATTGTCGAGCGTGTTGTTCCTGCAGGCGGTCTCAATCTACCCGATGGTCGTGTCATTGCCCCTGGCGTGCTTGTTGGGATGAATCCCTGGCTGATCCACCGCAACAAGGAGATTTATGGCCAGGACTCCGATGCATTTCGGCCAGAAAGGTGGCTTCGCCATGCTTTCGAAACGCAAGACGACTACCAGCGTAGGCTGAGGCGTATGAAGGACGCAGATTTCAGTTTCGGTTCCGGGAGCCGCGCTTGCATAGGGAAGACCTTCGCTCTCGTTGAGATATTCAAGACCGTAGCAACACTCTTCCATCGTTATAATGTGAGTTTTATCCTGCCCGGTAGTGGCAGCGATGACTAACGATAGTTGAAGATGGAGTTAGTTCCCGAGGCGAAGCAGTGGACAACTAGGTGGTGGTGGTTTACTTTCGTGGATCACATACACATTACACTTTCTCGTCGTCATGGGAACTAGCAGGATTCAATTCTGCATACGTGTTATGAAGTTGGAACAAGGCTTGAGTTCAGCTGATCTGTTCAAGCTCTCGTCTGGGCAAGGCTAACCAACCTGTGTGCCTCGAGACTAGCTGTCTGCCTCTGGGAATGTGGAACAGCCTTCTCCGTCGAAGGATTACTGAGTTTGACGTTGACACGCCTTTACGGCGGGGAAATAGAGAGGCCTCCGAAGTCTGTAGACTCTAGACAGCTCGGTACGTAAGCTGGGGCAACAGGGTTGAACGCTGGAGGGATATAAAAGACAGCTCACGCCCATCATCTGCTCTCACAAACTTACCTTTCGTATACATCGTGTGTCGAACTTTCAATTTCTATCCTCATAGGCTACCCGTACTTTCACAAAGTCGTCATGACGTCGCATCTATGCCGTGGGGTGCTACGTCGAGTCGCAGACAGAGCAGTTGCACCAGTGGCAGTCCTCCTAGCAGTCGTCTCCTTGCTTGCAGGGTTCGTTGGCAAGCTGATTTTCAGATCAGGTCAGATTCAACATGTAGTAAGTTTCACAAATTCTGTGCGTAGTTGCGACTACAGCTAATGACACATAATAAGCCCTTGACCAAAACATATGAAAATACGGCTGATTCGGTTTTCCCATGGACAGCTATCGATACGAGGTGGTTCCTCGGTTATCGAGTCGACATGCTTGGCCACCTCGGCCGGCCGAACAGGAAGCCAATTATTAAGGTTTGCAGAGAAATATCTGATGGACGAGTCATCGAGTATGAATGCTGTTATTCTACATGGATACTGCATTTGTTATATAGGAAATCGCGGGTGCCTGTGCTTGGCGGTTCTATTGCAACAAATGGGTAACACACTCGACGCCGGCATGTTCGTGGGAACCTGGTGCTTCTGCCCTCCAGGTTTGCTCTCGTGTTTCTATCTCATCCGCTTGTGTTGTGTCGCACTTGGCCGACTGGCGCGTTGCGAGCCTGGTCTTCGAGACAGCTCTGGTCGGTTCGTTATTTGGAGCTCGGGATGGCGAAATAGTAGATGCTGGAAGTCTATAGGATCGCTATGTTAGCGAGGAAGGGCAATAGTGCAAGAATCAAGTGTCCCAAGGAGCTGAAAATATTTGGGGGCCAAGTAGTCGGGGAGGTGATGGCACGCAGTGAAACGAGATGTGAGCAAGACAGTACTTTGCTTTAAAACGTAGGAGGTCTATTAGGAGCGGATGCTTGGGAACTACAGTGAACCTCGATTCTCGCGGGTTGATGGCTTGACCGAACTTTCTGCTCCTAGAGGCCGAGATAACGTCTCAAGCTGGTACCTTGAGACCAGAAAGCTAGGTACTATCGTAGAGGGGTAGTCTGAAAGGACCCGCAGCCCGTTCCCCCTCACTTCGTGTAAGTTCTGACCAATAGCACAGGGACACGTTCAGGCCATTCATGGACTCAGTGGTAAGCGAAATCAGGCAGAATCGGCACGGCGGAAATGGAAGAACGTGTTGACTAGGTGCTGTTTCAATTCCTTGCAATAACACAAACTTAACTCAGTTTCCTAGTATACGCCTGATTATCTACACGTTCAAAGTTAGTCGCAAAATGCAGTGCCCGAATCAAAATTGCAAGAGAAACAACGTTTCTGGCAGGGACACCTGTGAATATTGCGGAGCATCCTTAGCTTCGGTTGCATGATCGTTATTTGGTAATGCATACAAGATGGATTTGACCGCTATTCACTAACAGGTAGTTCTAGTTATTACGAGTGAACGATGACCAGAATTTTAAAGGTTCTGGTGGAGAGGAGATGACGGGAAGTGTCTGCTACGTATGTGGGAAGAGTGATTGGTAATTAGTCAACATTTTTCTTGCTGAGAGCATTGATAATGCACAAATTGCGAGTATATTGTTAAGAATTGTCCCCAGACTCGAGCTCTCGGAGCAGGTTTGTGCCACGATCGTCCAAGTCAGGGTATTTAGAAAGTGAATAATAATCCCTCCAGAACTCATATGCTTCGGTGTGCTTCTCCATATGCTTCTGAAGTAAACTTTTCCACTCAAGATCGTCCGGTCCTAGGCTGATCCCTGTAGATACGAATTCCCACCATACTGGGAAATAGCCACTGGACTCCCAGTCTACTATTCCTGCAAGCTTTCCTTCTTTCACAATAATGTTCTCGAGAGATAGATCGCCGTGTGTGAATGTGTACGGGGTTGCGGGAGGCATGCGGGCTCTGAGTCGACGAACTGTTTCATCTAGAAGTCCATGCAATCCTTTGGACATTTCATACCAAAGTTGATCATCGGAGCTTATAGGACCATGTGGAAGACCGTATCCATTTCGAAACAAGAACGCCGAGTAGATTGGCTGATTATCCAGACCTCCAACTCGGTCTGCATGGAGCTGTCGGAGTTGTGCCAAACACTCCGCGGTTTGTGACGCAACGTGGTCTCTTTCCGCAGTTGACATGTTGACCCAAACGGCCTTTAATGTGGCACCATGTATACGTTTCATGAGTATGATGTGCGATTCGTCTGTTTCGGAAGATTCGTCTAGAATGGTAGGAACCGGAATCGTGGTATTACTCTGCAAGAATCGAATGTTTTGAGCCTCGAAGTTTGGAGGACTGTTGTTGGATCGCTCTTTCACAATCCACTTCGTACCAATCGACCACACCCCTCGATCACTCACGCCATAAAAGAGCTTGACATGACTGTTGTAGTTGCATGATTCTTGACAGCGTGTTGTCCAACCGCAAGCAGTACAAGGCACTTCGGTAGGCATTCTGCTCCGGTGCCGCGATCTGGGAAGAGAGTAGTGAAGCTGACGGTGTTATGGCAGCGCCTTGCCTTTGATCACAATTCATCACACTGCACGGACTTTACAGTCACGTGCCAGGAAAGGCTCCCTTCTCCAAAGGACGGGTCCCACAAAGCCCATATATAACTGGCTCATTTCCGCGTGAAAGAATTTGCCAACATCAGACGATTAAGATAGTCCTTGTATCCTGTGTGCACAACAGTATCATGAATCTAGTTCGGGATATCTTCGACCAGCTTCGTAAGGTGGACGTAGAGCTCCGACCAACCCAACCCCACTTGGAGGTCGAAGTGGTGTTGGGTTAACATTAGTCAGCGAATCGAATGTTCTGTCGATTTATTCATTGATATGTTAGCCAGTAGTTGATATGGTTGACTTGGTTAGGGGTATCAGTGCAGTTCTACTGTTCCCATTGGTACTTCCAACCTCAGGGAGTGGATTACCGGCTGGACTGGGCGACGACTGATATAATTAGCCGCGGCATCTATGGGTGCAACGTGCACTGATTGCCACAACACGTTGCGTTTCCTCCCCTACGACAACTGACCTCATGCAGAGTGCCCCAGGTGCTACCACAATGTGTCAGGATGCGCCTTATGACGGAGATCATGAAATGAACACTAGCCTACGATCTTTGTGGTACTTTGCGACTCAGCCACATTGCTTCTCCAGAATGAATACAACTTTGCTTAGCGCGTAACTGTTACAGCCTTGCTATCACCTGCCAACTGGCTTATATTTGTGATGGTCAAAGGATTGTTCACTTTGCGAGTTCCTGCTTGTCTGGGAGGTGCTAGCCCCTCTGGATACCAATCACGTGCCCCAGGCTGTTTGGGATAGAACCAGGCAGCGCTTGTGCGCGCAGCCACTTGCCTTGAAACAGGAAGCGGGGGTCACCCCCCCTAGGAACGGGGTGGTGGTTGCTGAACTACAGGGAGCTGCCAATCTTCGCCTGCCGTCGAAGTCGATTTATTGCATATTAGAGAAGCTGGCTCAGAGATTTCCCGTGGCTAATAGGAGGATAATGGAGGAGCTTGAGAAGTTCCTTCGAAAGAGGGAGCAGGGCGCTAAGAGGAAACGGCGACGCGCAGAGCAAGCAGAGGAGCACACACGACCCACGACAACCAGCGAATACATCATCCGCCTGCCCTGCTTCGGTTTTCCCGATTTACCATCGAAACAGATCCAAATTTGACTTCAAAAGGTCCTATCACGAAACCGCGCGATAAGTGGTGCCCCCAATCTCTGCGGCCGTGGACCGATTTCCTTCACTGGTGAAGTCCGCTTTCGGTACACACTCTATGATATATTCCCTACTGATAGGCGCGTTTTCTGGCCGTCCTGGCCCAAGGAGGGGGGATTAGGGTCCACCAGCAATGTGAGTGGGGCTGTTGGAAAATCCTGGTTACTGCCTGATCAACCTTGCCATCGTCTTGATCGCTGATGCATGAAAAGTAAGGTCTGAGCAGTCCCTGAAGCGTTGGCAGGCTAGATCAAACCGAAGACGAGAAGAGAGGCCATTCTGATCTGTATGCTTTGAGGCTCCGGGCTCGGGCTGTTGGTCGGCGTTACAGCAGGGTTGCCTGACTTGACACGAAAGCCGCCGCGTGACATCCGGCTGGGAGACACCGAACCGCAGTTCTGGATGAGCAAGGAATTGTTCTCCCAAGGGCGGGAGAGGCACTTGGACGAGAGAACGATGTACAAATTGCTGGTCAATACTTCAATGTCGCTGGGGAATCAGCGTACACCAAACCGTTCGAACACCGTCACCGACCACTACAGTACTTCAACTGCCACCAGCTTGGACACCGAGCGTACGGGTGCAAGAGTAGCCAGGTGTGCGGACGATGCGCAAGGGAAGGTCATCACCACCGAGACTGCCAGGCAGCAGACCCGAAGTGCGTACTATGCGGTGGCCCACACGAGTCCTCCAGCAGGTTCTGCCGAAGGTTGCATTTTGCGTCCCATGAATCATAACTTTTGAAGCCTGCAACTCAACGTAAGACGACAAGAGACAGTGCAACTGAGTCTGGCGAACGACAGCGAACTGAGAGACTATGGAATCATAGCGATACAGGAACCAAACATAAGAAGGATAGACAGCGCAATCATGTCGGCGCCAACGAGGCACGCAAACTGGACGAAAATGCTACCGACGACTCTACACGACAGGAGGTGGGCAGCTGGAGCGATACTCTGGATCAACACGAAATTGATGTGACTCAGGTCCCCGTCCGCAATCCCAACGTGACGGCGGCCCTGGTGAAGGTGGCGGACCGGGTGGTGTTGATATGCGGTGGCGTCTCAAGAAACGATCGGCCAACTACGAGATCTGGGCCGCCAGGCTAGCCACAGTACCGACTACCTGTACATTGGCGACTTCAACCTTCACGATCAGGTGTGGGGCGGAGACGGCGTGTTCCCGGCCCGGCAAGGCGAAGCAGACCACCTGATCGACATGATGAACGAGCTCGGGCTCATGAGCCTACTTCCGAGGGGGATGAAGACGTGGCAACGTGACGGGCACGAGAGGACAACTGACCTGGTGCTGGCATCAGAAGGGCTAGCAAACGATACAATTGCGTGTGGGACCCACCCGACGGAGCATGGTTCAGACCACAGGGCCATCGAAACGATATTTGGCACCCGCATGCCTTTGAAGAATGCGGAGAACAGGCTGCTCCTGAGAAACGTACTATGAAGGGAGATCCGCACGAGGATCGCAGACACACTCAGATCAGCCCCGACTGATGGCACGGTGCAGCAACGAACCGACCGGATCATGAGTGCGGTTGTAGAAGCAGTGCATGCGCTGACACCAAGAGCCAAGCCGTCAACATACGCCAAACGGTGGTGGACTATGGACCTGACAAAGCTTCGGAAGACCTACACCTACTGGAGGAACCAGGCGCGGTCCCGCAGGCGACCTGGCCGAACTGACTCAGGCGTGGAACATCAAGCGAGAGCGGCGGGCAAAACATACCACACAGCAATACGGAAGCAGAAGAAGACGCACTGGCACGAGTTTCTGGAGGAGAATGCCAACATCTGGCAGGCGGCACGGTATCTGGACCCGGACGAACACTCGGCATTCGACAAGATCCCATCATTGAAGAGGGCAGACGGCACGACGACAGGCAGTATACAGGAGCAGGCATTGGAGCTGATCCGGACGTTCTTCCGACCATTGCGGCCGAGATCGACGACGAAGGCGCGAGAGCACAGCGGGCGCCTGTAGCGTTCCCTAGGCTGACAATGGAAGAGGTCGACAGACAGACGATGGCAGCCAGCCCGTGGAAAGCAGCCGGCGAGGATGGCCTCCCGGTGATGGTATGGAAGCAGGTGTGGCCGGTCGTCAAGGAGAGAGTGCTTTCCCTCTCTCAGCTGTCGTTGGACACGGGCGAGCTCCCGCACCAATGGCGCCTAGCCAAGGTCATCCCGCTGAAGAAGGCAGAGAAGCCCGACTACGCGAAGGCGAAGGCCTGGCGATCGATCTCGCTGCTCTCTACGCTCGGGAAGATTCTCGAGTCGGTGATTGCGGAACGACTGTCATATCTGGTGGAGACGATGGGCCTGCTGCCAACCAACCACTTTGGCGGGAGGTCGGCGGAACAAGCACTGATGCTCCTGCAAGAGCAGATCTACAAGGCCTGGCGATCACGAAGAGTTCTCAGCCTGGTCAGCTTCGACCTGAAGGGGGCATACAACGGGGTGCACCGAGAGAGACTTGCCCAGAGACTACAAGCTAGGGGGGTCCCCGATACTCTGGTCAGGTGGGCCGAGTCGTTCTGCTCAGACCGGACCGCTAGCATCTCAGTTGTCCATACCCATTTCGGGAATTGTTGTTTGAAAATATTCAGCCAGAGTTGTTTTGTCTAGGCTTCCGGATATTGCAGTGCATCGTGCGTAGCGACCGCTAAGGTTCCTTAGCGAAATCCATGATGCTATTGTGGATATACAGGTTGTGAAGGTGATTCACGTAGGATAGCAGAGGAGACCAGATTATCGCTCAGAACATGGTATTTGTGGTTTCAGTAACGACTTGACTATACTGCTTTTTGTAGTCATACTTGTAGCAAGTATATGGAGCCATTAAGAGAGTAGCATAACTGATAAATGATGGGAGAAAGCCGGTCTGCTTTTGTGAGAGTTTTTGGAGATTTACCAAACCTTTATAATGATGATAATGGCACGAATCTCACAATTTCGAACATGTACTCTCTAAATTGGTAAATTCGTATCTTCATTCGTCAACCATCGCTATATAGGGAGCGCTTTACGCGAGGTGATTCATGCATTACACCCACATCCTCTGTAGTCAAGATGGTGTATAACTAATAATCACCCTGGCTGCAAGAAACCATGGTTATGCGCGAGATCTTGAGTCAGGGACTCAGGGATAAGAAAAGAGGAGAAAGGGCTCGGTCGCGTCGCATATGACCTTCCCACGCCACAGCACAAGCCAGCCCGTCCTCTATCAACATATGCACATATTCGCTTTAGGTGCTAAGCTGCGAGAAGTATACATGGGCGGGCGGCAATGTTAGTATGCCAACTTCAATGTTTGTGGTGCAGTCGATTCCACCTCGGCATTGGACGTAGCGAACCAACAGACTGAGGTGGCCAGTGCACGCAGTGTGCCGCTCCCGCCCCACCCCCATGACTGACGCACCTACCAGCTTAGCAACTGCGCACTATGGCGTGAAACCATTCCCAGGCGGCACTTTGATTCATCCGTACCGCCCCATCCATCCATCCATCCATCCATCCATCCATCCATCCATTCATGGTATCATTAATTCATCCATCCATCCATCCAGCCATCGCTCACCATTCATCGGCCCGCCAATTGCATTAACAATGGCAAAGTTATCCTCGGGTGAAGATGTAGTTGCTCAGATCGATAAGCAATATGTTATCCTCAAAAAGAACGAATACGTTCTCAACAAAACACAATTGCAACTGCTTGAGAAAGTCATCCACCTTCTAACTGATAAGGAAAACCTTGACAAGACCCTTTCAGACAATCAAAAGCAGAGGAAAAACAGAGCGCGCCAATTCCTTCGCAGCACGGCTAATAAGTCGGGCGTCGAGGCAGCTCTTCTATGCATCATTACCTTTCCAATCACAAAGCTAGCCGATACGGTGAATACATGTCAGCCGGCGATTTCATCATGGTGGGAATTATTTCAGGTACCACCCAAGCTGCAGGATCTGGCCAACGATCTGCTGGGAATGTACCGTACACAATTAGGTTTGTTGAGAGGCTTGATCCACGATCTCGCGCTGATTCTTGACAGGCTTGGACGACGGACTCGACACCTCAACACTGTCTTCAGATGTGCCATCGTATGGCAATAAGAGAAGTTTATCCAAGGCGACACATGTGTCCGACCAACGACCCGCAAAGAGACGTGATGTGAAGCAGTCCGCAGAGGAGCTGGTTCACCAGACGCAGAATGACGCGACAATAGCCGAAGTCAATGCCGAGGATGAGCAGTGTCGCGGACATGTTGAAAACGAAATGGAGCCTGCCGGGCGAACCAAGATGGAAACCGCGCCACTCGATATTCCTGCAAATGGTATGCAGCCCTCTACGACTGAATAACACTTGCTGACCGTCGCAAGGCACACTGCTCGATGGAGTATCGTACAAGATCACGCTGGAAGATGTTCTGCTGATATTGAGCCTTGAGAAACCTAACTGCACGCTTCTAATGCCGAACCTCCCATCTATCAGCCCCTTTGTGATATTCAACTCTTCAGTGGATTTATCGAGCAGTATTACCACCAAACGCGAAAGGCAGGAAGACGAGTTTATTTAGGGGATTACTTCCACGATCGCAATGCGGCAGTCTCCGAAGCAAGCGAATTGTTGTCCCTCTCCCAATACAACGGCCACATAACCTTCATAATCCTTTCCTACCATGTCTAGGTATTGCCTTTTGGAATTGAAGGTTCTCACGTGTCCTGCCGAAGTCGTGGCATCGTAGATGATGGCAACAACGGTGTTGGCCCGTTTGATAAAGCCCGTGCCGTGATTTGACCATGGGAGTAATTTGCAATCCTTTCCGGTCTGAACATTTGTCAGTAATGTATTCATTTTTTCGGATGCGCAACTCACAATGGAGCTACACTCCTTAGCAAGCTCCTCATCAGTAATGCCGGTCAGACGGCGCTTGTCTGACATTCCCCGCGAGATCTTGTGTCTTGGGCGATGCGAAGGCAACTCGCTGCGGGAGCTGTATCCAGATGCTTAACTTGCGGCAGTTGTCTCAAGGACGAGGTAGTGGACTGCTCCAGCTCATAACTGAAAGAGTTGTAAATGTAGACAGCGGGCGAAATTTTGAGGACACTTGGGCATCATGCTGGACCCCGCAGGCACGCCTTACTGTGGTCGACACGTCGTGGTGGGGCAGGCATTCATTAGGGGCGTCATCAGGAAACGGAGCCAAAGATAGTCCGGATCCGGCGCTGGCCTCGAATGATGAATGGATGAATGGGTGAATGAATGAATGGATGGATGGATGAATGAATGAATGGATGGATGGATGAATGAATGAATGAATGAATGAATGAATGAATGAATGAATGAATGAATGAATGAATGAATGAATGGATGGATGGATGGATGGATGGATGGATGGATGGATGGATGGATGGATGGATGAATGGATGAATGAATGAATGAATGAATGAATGGATGAATGAATGAATGAATGAATGAATGAATGAATGAATGAATGAATGAATGAATGAATGAATGAATGAATGAATGAATGATGGAACTTGGTCGGATCTCAGTCGTATCTCTGATAGGTCCACTGCTTCCCGACTCTAGCACGGACTTAGCCCCCGTACCAATCACCGAATAGCCGAGCGAAATTGAAAGTTAGCAAATGAGCTCCCAAGATATCAGGTCCCAAGGCGCGGAACAGAGTTTTATCGAAGACTCAGGCGTCTAAGTTAATATAATGAATTTGTTATATGGATATGCTCGTCAGAAGACCTCAAATGAGTCCCCTCGAACTAGAAGGTAACCTAGTCTGCAACAGCACCCTGAAGCAGTGGCTTTGTATATTGATATTTTCATTCGGTTTGCTACTAAGCTTTCCGCACGGTAATTCATAGCAGTCCTTGATTGCAAAGAGCGTCGGGCGCCACATTGTATATGACCAATACAATGAACTAGGACAGCTTCACCACGTTGCAAGGAATGTCGTATTCATTGATAGGTCAAGAAGCAGCCCCGGACAGCCTTGGAGGAAGGGACGTCTGTATCAAGCTCGAAACGGTGAATCTAGGTCATCTCTCGTACGGCCTTATGGCTGATAGGATCCTAAATCTACCACTGCTATTACTGACAACTTGACTGTTCATTGATCACGTGTTCATTATGAACCCACAACAACTGGCATCATACCCCAAACGTTCTTGTTGCTTCAGAAATGCGACGCGCAGTCACTTGCATTTTGCCCTTCTGGTACAAAACAGGGCTATATCGATGGGAACTGTGGCCGGCTATGAACCGATCAGGATTCGGTTGCAGCCCATGATGTACTCTACCCATGCCGGATCGATGAAGAACGCCTTGGTCCTCTCCCCACGCTGGCCGGCTTAGATGCGACCTTGTGGGCCATGATGTTTGACACAGCCGTGATAATTCTCTTGGTCCGTACGTCTCTGCACTTGCACACACGAGTTTCTCTAGTCTTCATCTGGTATAATGTGAACAGCTGGCTTTATGAACTGATCCGTCTTGTACATTCTGCAGATCATGGTCAAAGACTAGCCCTATTATGATGCTTCCCACGCCCTCGCCGGTGAGCGCCATGACTGGCTGTGACCCCCAAGAGGACCAGGTCAGGATGCAGCCTCGGATCAAGAGATCCCAGCATATACCTCAAAACGGTAGTCGGTAGGTCGTGGCGGCGGCTGTATCAAGCAAGGCCGTTCGATATGCCTCTCGGTGACGCGGATGACATGCACACGTACGCCTGGTTGTCCATCTAACAATTTCCGCATGCATGAATCCCTGACATGCCGTACCTAGAACAGATCAGGACTCGCAGTTGAGGTAGTCACCTAGAGGTGACAAGGTTGACTCGGTCCTTTCCCGACCACTATGTTGCGTCTTCATACTATATAATGTGCGGAATGCACATCTGGCACTTGTATCAGGCGTCCTCCATCGTTATGGCTTTTCCAACAATAGTGGTCATCTTACTTCCATCACCGTCTTTGCCCTGAGTCTGACTGTAACTGTTCGACGTTGGCCTCACTGATATATGATATCAGGAAAGCTCTTCATACTTCTCAGAGCGATCCAATCCACTAAAGTTGTGAGTGAACCCTCTCTCATGATGCTCGGGTTGTTCTTCTCACCCTCCATGATTTTAGTATAGCTTCAGCCGATCGGTATTGACACTACTACGGTTCGAAATAGACGACCGATCTTTGACGATGCTACGTAGCGAACCCAATACACCAGGCGGTGGAAACGGTGAGGGCATAGGAGGCATACCAAAAACACCGCCTACAGGGAGTGGGGGACCCGCCAAGCAACATATACAATTTCGTTTGTGATGATCCAGCAATGTGCCTACGACCTCAGGATAGTTGGGAGTTTGATACCAGCAGTTTGGTCGCTGTATCGTAATAAGCAATTAATTGACATACTGTTTGAGTGTGCTATTTCTGATACGCAAGACACATCAATGTGCTCATGACACCCTAAGGCTCATCTAGTAGAAGGTACCAGGCCAATGCGCTGTCAAAGGAAGCCCTGGTGGATTGATGGGCCTGCCCGCTTCTAGTAACTCTAGTGAACTGATTAAGTAATTAGGGGTGGACAACCTCAAATGAAATAATCAAGTCGGAATTGGTGGGCAGGGGATCTCGCTACGACGTGGATGGAGTGATATGGAACTGCTGAGACACGGAGATCTTGTTCCTTTCTGATGGATCTTGCCAGGCGAGGAGAAACTCTAATCAGACCAGAGCTTTCCTTTCCTACATATACCCCCGTCAAAACGTCTGGCCAATCGCGGGTGATCCTGGGTGCTTGAAAGAGGCATATCAGCGAAAGCGCATTGACTAATATTTGCAGAAATTGAGGAAACGTACGCTGACATATGTACAAGCTAAAGGCCAAGATGGCGCTAGTGCGGAGCAATGGGGCTGGATCGTGGTGCTGTGAAGCTAACCCTTGGGTCCGGTTCACAGTCCATGGTGTTCAGAAACTCTCGAGCTCAGCGGCATTTGTGGCCGATGGTTTGGTGCTCGCTTACATAATTCGCAACGTACGCAGAGTAGATCGATTCTGGTTACCGGGTACATTATGCGAGGTACGCTGCTAGCACCGCAAGCGAGCGACTTCCAGGACCCCTGGAGGCCTGATCGGCTTCCCTAGGCTATTTAGGTATTAGTATAGTCGAATAGCTTTGCACGTCAATGCACTCATGGTACCCTTACGCGAGCATGCCACGGCAGGGGTCTTTGCGAACCTATAATATCCTCTTGCCTCCTCAAAGTCCGTCCGCTACTTCATGAACATAATGGTCTAGCAGCTATTTCACCGTGCCATCCGCTTTGATACCAGCCGACACTTGAACTATGGAATCAACTTTTGTAGATCAGTCTACCAACCAACAGGTCGAAGGCAACTGGATCATTATGAGTGAACAAACAGAGGTGTGCCTATTTTGTGCCTTGAGGTCTTCTCGGAGCTGATGATTTCAGATCCTTACTTGTAATGCTCGAGGCATTGTAGTCTGCCACATTAAATATATCCGAAAAGAGGAGTTAACTATTGTGAGTGGAGCCTTCCAAAGCATACCTCTTCGCGCACTGTTAACATTAGGTAGGACACAAAGTCGGGCAAGCATTTGTGGGTTCCATCCTATGGTACTTGCATCCGGTGCCAACTCGGTCAGCTTCACTGCGAATGCTTCGATGGGACAGCTCCTACAGCCTTTGGAAGAAGGTCTCAATGCTTTTCTGACGGCAACTCTAAGAAATGGGCTTGGAAATTGATTAAGCCGGAGAGAGCCTCAGCAAGTCGGATCGTAGTCCGGTTATTGAACGCTCTTATATGCTGCAATAATTCAAGAGCCTAAATCCGCATGGAAAGCAAAGTCAAGGACCTGGATCCAGTTATAAGTGTTGTTGTTCCTAACAAGCGTCAACCAATGGCAGTCTCGATAGCCATTGTACATTTGATAGGGCAAAGCGAACGTTCTATAGGCCACCATTATTTGCTGCTGCGATATCTTGCTATCTCCCTCGTCTTCGAGCCATCTGGATCACTAGATAGAACAGTTGCTCCGCGATCCCCATACCATGGCCCTTCAACCGGAAATACTACAATGCAGTCCACAAACTCACTTTCTGATATGTAGCTCGTATCCCCTTCGAAGGGCAGTATAGAACCAGGGCGCCATGGGACTTTGACCATCTTGGACCATTGAACTTCACCATCCTCCATTGGCGCTTCTTTCCCCGGGTGAATATATACATCGGTCCTTGTCAATGGTAGTATCAAACCGCATTCTTCAGGTGGTGTCCATAAGCTGCCACGCTTTAGCCGGTACGAATTCGCAGAATAATGTGGCTTTTCGATTCTCGCCTTCTTCGCCAAGTGACGAAATTCCTCAAGCTAGTTGCGTTAGGCAAATGATGACTATCTGGTAGTCGAGACTCACTACTGATTCGATTGCCATATGTGCCATTTTACTCCGGTCTGAGTGATGTGTGAGTCTGACCAGCGTTGCCTTCCCCCCCACTGGTATAGGTTCCCATTCAGGCTCCGATGTGCCCGGTATAGGCCGTGGAATCAGCAGAAGCTTCACTGACTGAAGGTCAGCCAAATTGTCTCTGTTGCATTTCGACCTGATGATGATCCGGAACGCATACCTGTAGCTTGAGACACAAGAGGAGCGAGTATGAAATGCTGAATAGGTAAACGGCGAGATACTCGTATATCCTCTCCCCGGACCTCCTGGTGTCCTCTGAGAGACCCTATCCATAGCGTAACCATTGAAAGTATCCTTGAGGCAAGGAGTGATCGTTGGTCCGCACTGAGCTGGCACTCTCGGCTGGACTCAGCGTTACCGTGAGCCCAAGCCGACAGAATAGCTATCTGTTCAGCTAAGTTTGTAGGCACACTGTGGGGGTCCTCCACCGGTGGCCTGGTTTCGTGGCAAGATATCGTGCCAGCAGAGCTCCAAGTCAGTCGTGGCTGAAGAGGCTCCGTGTGTGATTCTTGTTCGAAGGACAAGTTGCTGTCATTTCCATACTGGCTCGGACAGACACAATTAATGGCAGGCCTGTCCCCATACGGGCTGCCTGTCGCATGGCCTGGCCCATTCGGATTGTGTGGTACTGAGCTGAAGTCTGCTGTCAGACCTTTATTAGGTCTAGAGATGCTCAGCATGTTATAGTTACCAGAGCCCTGTCCTAGAGGTTAACCTCACATGTGCACACATCGCGAAACCTGTAATTACCGGAGAAACGCCCGCCTTGCAAAACCACCGAAATTTGCAACACACTCCCTCCCTGTCCGTGACCGCAGATGTTCCGTTGGCCTTGCGCTTCTTGGAAGTCGGCGGGAATGTTCGATGCTCTTTGGTCGAGAGAAGCATTTCGCGACAGCCGCTACGAAGTTGGCCCGTGGTCGTGAGTGCATTGTCTTCTGTCGGGGTCGTGTCGTGTGTCTGCGCCGGATAATCGGACGTATTCCAAGTGTCCGCGTTCCCAGTAGCTTCTTCGTGGTTGACAGCACGCGATATTATTCTGACTTTGGCCGGTGCCTGGCTATCTGATTCCTCGTTGTGGGCACGGGGCCAAGCTGAACTAAGGGTAGAACCAAGATCCTCCTGATTACGAGGACCCAAGCTTGCGTCACTGATCGCAACTTCAGCAAGAAAATGAAGATGATTTGACGCAAGATGTGTAGAAAGGTCCTCCAATTCAGTGCGCCGGTCATCGGTTGGTAGAGCTTGGCTGGCGAGCTCACGCTCAGCGACGGAGAATCTCTGGTTGTATTTGTCCATATTTAGGCTTGTTCCTAGCGCCTTGTTGATTTTATCCAACCTACACTCTTAGTTTGCATCCGATCAACTCGAACCATCCGTACTCACTGCAAGCCCGAACACGCCAGCATAAATGGCGGTGAAAATGATAGATATGCATCCTCCTTGGCAAATTCCAGTTTCGACATGAAATCTGCAGCTTTGGGTGCCTTATTGGCAGACTCTGACCACTCTCGAAGAATACTCATGGCAGGGCAACCTGTCAAGGTAAGCAATTTGTTCATGGCCAACCCGCTAACACTTACAGAATAGCATTAGTTGAGAATATGGATGGGAGCATGACTGTAAGTCTGGAAAGCCATCAGCAAAGCCCTCGATCAGTTTCGATGTATGCTTGGTAGCAGTCCGCAATCGTGCAAAATACTTTTGATCTCCAGCGATCGGCAAAACCTTTTTGATGAAGCGTTCCACGGTATTCAGATCTTCGCCGGATCCCACAAGAACTGTACAGACGCAGTGAAGCAGGAAGGAGCAAAAGTTGGAAAAAGCGTCGGGTAGCTTCTTCATACACTGGTGGCCGCGCAACAGATCGATCATTCCTTCTGCAGCCGATTGAGTGGCTTGTTCGAGATATGCCTTCTTCGATTCCATATATGCCTTGATGAAGGCTTGCAGCACCGCAATAAGTTGTTTCCATATTTCAAGTAATGCATTTGGAGCTGGCTTTCTCTCCACCTCGGCCCAATCCGATGCAGTTTGCTGCACTCTTGCGACAAAGCGTTGCGCACTGTCGGGTCGCGGATTCGGAAGCCCACGGCTCAGTTCGACGTTGGACGGCTGCGATGCTGGAAGATGCCATCCTGCCAGGTGTGATGAGGTCGACCGGATATTGTCCTCTTTCTCGAATCCGGATCCCGAGAGAGGCATCGCAAATGTGGTAACAGACTGAACTGGACAAGAATTGTAGTGTTCATGCCAGATTGAGGGGCCACTCAAGTGGCCCCCAGATTTGGCATAGTCTTTCAGAACACGGCTGGGGGTGATTCGCTAGGGCCCCGGCCACATATGCTGGGCACGGCTCAACCTGCGTCTTACCGAGGTTTTGTTGACGATGAGGGGCTAATGCGGGGCTAATGCAGTCCAGGGATGATAATGACGCCGCGTCAATGCTGCATGAACCCTGGTCAATTATTTGAGGCTTTGTACGGAGGAGATTAACTCAGAAACCTCCCCAAACTTCACTATGCCGTTTCTAGGGGCCACTCGTGTGGCCCCCAAATTCAGCTAGCGCTGGACTTGAGCTGTTGCTTTTCGCTACGTATTTCGTGCACTGTTTCCGCCTGATACATCATATCACAAACGTGCACGATCCTCTGCACTGAATGAAGCCCGAGGCCGAGACGCGGGCCTCAAGCCAAGGTCATGTCCATTCTGCGATCCTGGTCACATTCCTTATCTGAAAGTCACCGCGTCTTGAGCCATGCAGGCCATCACCCATATGCAACCACTCCCCAAGCCAACATACACTTCACTCTTGAAGGTCCAAGTTAAAGTACTGTCAGCTGAGCAGTCCCTTAGAAATCGGGCGAGCCCCCTGGCATAGACTTGTATTGAAGCTATGCGACCGGCTGGGCTGGAAATGTCGGAAGGCTCTGAAGTTTTCAAATTAAATACCTGGCGTTGGCAGTCATCTATTCCTTCTAATCTCACTCTTTTGCCCTGTTCTTATGCCATGTACCTGGTCCACATTACGCAAGCTGTCACTGCTATTCGGCCGATTCTACCCCTTTCTGGCGTGCGCCAACCGACTGACTGATCCCAGTGCCAAACTTCCCTGGCACACCATCTTTCCCCCTCTCCTGTTCTTGTCTTGTCTCATCCAGAGGTTTCCACCTACCTCCTGGCGCAAGCTTGCCCGATACGCCACCTCGGCCTATTACCAATGGATCTCGGCTGTCACAAACCAAGTATGCTTTTGCTGAGCTCTATGCAGGCTCTTCAGCTGAGCTCCACGACAGCCACGGGGGCACAAGGCATTGGGACATCTGATCTGCAGCCGTGGGCCTAGGTGGATCTAACCACATCATTCGTCGTGCGGCGACTATCGGCCAGTACAAGAAGCAGCCCCTGCCACCAATAAAGGTTGCAAGCAGGCATGTCAGTCTCCAGAAGCTGCGACCAGTGCATCCGGAGCGGCTACTAGTGTCATTATGGTAGCTGTGGCGATGAGGCATCCTGGACCTTTGCGGCGCAAGGAAAGAGACAGATATCATGCCCAAAAAGAAAAAAACAAAAACACTTTCGTCAGCATTGACATTCGCGGCGTGCAACTAGGAACCTGCATCTATCACTCATTGCAGCTCTTCGTGCATCATCTTAGGTGCATTTTTCATGTAGACCCATGTGACCACCGTTTCTGCCATGTACATTGCAAGCGCAACCCTGGCGTGGATGGAGATATCATAGAGTGCTGCTTGCAATTCAGCCATGCCGCTAGTCACGGTCGCTGCACGTTTCAATCACTCCGTGGATCTTACAAAAAGCACAGGTTAAGGATGTATTACGGACGGTTCATCTCCTACAGCCCGATCCTAGAGACCAGCAACGCCCAGAGTCCAACCCCACACTCGTAATACGCCTGAATAGCTCATGTCCTCCTTATAATTCAAAATAGCATTCTTTTCGAACTCCAGAAGCATTCGTGTACCAATCCCTTTTTTCCGTGTTCTGATGTCATTTACCGCCTTCCCCGTTCCAGTCTTGACGAACAGACAAGGCGCGACTAGTGGACAGGGCCACAGAGGTACTGTCTCGAGAGGGACCACCACGGTCCACTCCCCACCACTTATTACAAGAACAGCCACCTCTTCACTGCAATCTGTTACATTGTCTCCCTATGTATTGGCAACTCCGAGACACTGTACGCATCCCAAAAATTGCACTCGAAAGCCCACTGTAGTTGAAGCGGTCAAATCGACAATGTGTGAATACACCCAGGTAAGCATTCCAGTCACGTATCACCACTCATCTTAAATGAGCAGGTTCAATATTACTGCGACCACCTCCGATTTAGAGTGCAACGATGGTGCAGCAGTTATGAACGAACGCATAAGGTCTGCCAGCCCAATGTGACAACGGCGGAATATCGGTAAGTCTGGATCCCGATAAATCCTCACCCACGACTGATCAACAACAGAGCCGACGAGGTCTGCAGTATGTTGCTTTTAATATCCTCCGTGTGGAGACAAGTGGTTCACATGCACCTAGGTGATTGCAGACCCCACCCGCCGCCAGCCTGGGAATGGATGATTCGGAGGGGCAATCGACGTGCGCCATACGTATGAGATGGTCATGGTGGCGGCTGCAGCAAGGCCCGGGCGCTGCACGAAGGAGACCTCAAACCAGTAATAGTTCATCTCCATGTGCTCTGTTATCCAGTCAAAGTCAGGCGCATCAATACGTGTTTGACCGCCTCTGAAATTGGTAATATATGAACAGAAGGGTTGATCCGAGGCATTACAATTTCCTGATGATTCTCAAGTCCTTCATCATGTCTTCCGAAACCGAGCCGCTTCTGTCGAAGAGTATAGAGTCCAGCACCAGAAATAGTCGGCATAGAATATCGCTTGCTTCTAGTTTCATGTGCTGCATTTCTCTATTACTGTGTCCTCTCCTAGCGTGTACTCAGCCGTACCTTGTAACACACTACCTGCCAGCTGTGCTGCGGCATCTCCCATTCAAATCGCGACAAGCCCTTATCCAAGGAATCTCGGTTATAATAGATAATACTGTTACACTGCTATGGACATCTGTTGGCACCTACATCACCAAGATCTCTCTTCACAGGTTCCAATGTGTTGACCTAGATCAGAATGGACGTGACAGCTTGAGGAAGAACGGCAGCCTGGACAATGTCGCCCGATCTATGGTCACACTTGGGCCGCTCATCGTGCTTACTCAACTACTCGCATCGTGGGATACCCTTCATGCTTTAGCTATAGTGTTAGCTCTTGCGTTGTTGGTGGGCAATTTCCTGCTGAAGACTCTGTTCCGTCAGTACAGGGCCATCGAGGACAACTGGCGAAAGACTGTGAAGGCCGTGGAACGTTCGTACGTTGACCGATCCTGCACCAAGCTCGCTCTAATTTGTGTAGAAGGTCATCTGATATTGCCGAAAAGCGGCAGGAAGAACTCTCAGCATCGACAATCTCGCGGGCAGTTGCCGAGTTTACTCAGAGTTTGTTATGGCTTATCATCATCTCGGGTGCCATGCACTTCTGGTGCCAGGGCTTGCCTGACGAGGTTTACAACAAGATCCATCGAGATGGCATCGCAATTAATGATCACGTGAACAAGTTCTTGAAGAGCTGGGTCCCTGCCTGGGCGCTGCTTAAGCTGGATGTAAGCACTCCAACCGCGGACGGCCAGGAGGGTGGATCTTGGTTCACACGGGGCATTGTGAAATGGTGCACGAGCCCGCGGGACTCTGGCGAAAACACGCAATCTGAACAGAGAGTGCGTTGGTCTATCCATTTCACTGGCACGGGAATGGACATGGAAAGGTTTCTTGCGGATTTGCGGAGCCAGAAAGACATGGGCACCATCAGGTACAACGGATTGGAGGTTGAAAAGATTACCTGTGACAATCTGCACAAGGCAACGGAGGTCTAAATTAACCGAGATATGAAGCGTATGCATGCTGCGAATGGAGTCTGCGTCTGGATACTTGTCCGTGAATGCTATCTTGAGCCGTCCATTGGCGCTTTAAGCAGTGTCGCAACCAAGCCTGCAAGCGCACGTTTATGTGGCCTACCAAGGACAAGTCATTCGGGGGGCACAGTCCACGAATGGCCATGACCCGATGCTGCCGGCCGTACCGTCCGTAAAACAATCGAGGTCGCAGACTAACCAATTTAGGAAGAAGCATGGGCAGGAAACCCATGTAAAGCACCCATGCAGAGGGCTTAGTGCGATACTTGCCGACAACCAATTGCGAGTCACGCGCTAGGTAGTACATGCACTGCAACATCTCACTTGCAGCTGTGCGTCAGGGTAAATCCTACCACGCTAAGATTGCCGGCGGTTCAGGCTTTTGGTAAGCGCTTGCACGGGCCGCATTTGGAAGCGAAGCCGACCTCCATCGATTCCACGATCCGGGGGTAATAGCCAATCCAAGTCGAGAAGGTCGATCATAACAGGCTAGGATAGCGTCGTAGGTGATGCTGCACGCCAATTCTGCACAGCATGGTTCAGAAGACGCTGCTCATACACGTAGTTGCAGGAAAAAGTATGCGCAAAATCTTGGACCTTCACTGTTCGATGATGGAGTGGCATGCATATGGCGACAACCCGTGCCCCCGGGTTGTATCATCTCTTTGCCACATTATGTATCATTGGGGGCTCGATCGGAATGATACAACGAAATTGCGGACGCCGCAAATGGCGCACGATACCCCGGCTACCTATGCATCGCAAAACACGAGTCACAGCCATTGATCTTCCTCGATGCATCGGACTTGTCCGAATGATTTTTACCACTCTGTGCCCCGAGCCCAGTTCACCATTTAGCCGTCAGGTTGGGTACTTGTGTTAGCTGCCCACAGTGAATCTGCTCATCTTGGACATTCTATGAAAAATGCCTTTCAAGATGGCTCATGACTGGGAGCCTGGCGCATTACTATATCATAGCGCAAACAACTCAGTAACGAGGATTATTGCAGAATTGGATCTAACGCTTGTGCGTACACTGCCCAACAGTATTCTCATCCACTCGGGAACGAAGAAGCACTCCCTGCGGCTGCCACAGAAGCTGGTGGTCCCTCAACTTGTCGAAAAGCTCCATCCTCTTGAGAATGACATCGCAAAAATGATCCCCGACAATCGACTGGTGCAATTCGGTCCTGATGAACAGCCGGACCCCCTGGCACATGTGGTAGGGGAATTTCTTTGTGAAGCCCGAGATATTTTCGCTGTCACCCAAGGAGATATGCCTCGGGAATGGCTATCGGATATCGCTGCAGAGGCATCTTCCCCAAGCTCTCACCAACGGTATGTAGCACCCTCCCTCCTAGTGGATTACCATTCAACGTGCACAGTTTCCAAACTCAAAGTCAGTGGACTGAGAACCTAGTCGATGGGTGGATGAAGTGTTTGGGCGACAGATCATGCATGGCGCATAGGAGAGAACCTGGTGCCATTGTGGCCAAACTTTGATTATGGGATTTACCTGGGTCCAATGTCTGACCTGGTGGTCGGTAGGTAGTACATCGGATTCAATGCGCAGAAGCTTTTGCGAAGAGGTGGTGCGCGTTCCCACAGTAGTGACAACACCCAGCCGTGTGCACCCCTGACAGAAATTACTCGCGATGCACAGATTCGTATTCAGACCATGGTAGCCAAACCACTTGGATCCATTAACAAAGGGCATGGCTAAGATTGTTTCCTCCACGTGCTCAGCGTCTTCCCACACACCTTGGTGTCGACCAGGTTGGCTGAGGACACTAGGGGTAAAGTCAGCACTCCTACTGGTGTGCTCTGCCTGCCTATCTCTGGGCTTCGGTCTTGTACTGTACACCACTGCGTAGCCTCCGTGAGCCACTTTCGAATTTTCAAATAGCGCGTCTAGCCACTGACCGACCTTTCATCAGTGCTATTGTCTCTGTGCGTGCCATGTACTCGCAAGACCCAGTATTCTAGATGGAAATCCAGCAATACACATGTGCTCCAAGCTGTAAGAAATAGAATGAAGCGAAGTGGTCTATTCACCTCTATGCACGTTATGTTCGCCCCCAAGGCTTGAGAATAGGTAGTTGCAGTGTAGTGTTCAATCTTGGTAGCGGCATTTTTTCGTTCTGACCCCCAGGGCAGTCAAGAAGGATGGGAGGTAGTGGGATCCCAGAGACTGCCGCACGTCACAGCGCTTCTCATAGGGTAGATACAATATTTGATGTTGATTACAGGGCTTTGGCGGGTTTAGCCTGCCTTAAGTGGTCTTTTTGTGCACTGAAAGAACGCAGTATTTTGAGCGTGTCAACACCAGCTACTCATGCTCCATCTCCGAGATAGCGTCGAAGCTGGGTGCCATGTCTTACTGGCCGGGCGCTGATAATCCTTCTGTCGCAGGTGCACGTTTGTCAAGCACATGATTTACGATCCAAGTCGCCACCCAAGACTTTGGGGCCTCGAAGCCGCCTCGTACATGGCATGATTGCAAGCCATTCAATCGACCCTCGTTGCCTTAGCTCTGCCCCGAAGAACGAGACCTCTTGCTATATTACGGAGCGTTTTCTAGTAGTATGAACGCCTACCGATTTCTGGGCTTTGGTTTGATGAAATCAACCATGCCCGGTACTGGAATGTCCCACTACTGCAAGCCTTCTGTGCTTGACCTTCAACGTAAGTACATAGTACCCCTGAGTATCGCTAAGATTAAGGGCCCTTTCAAGGGGCAAGTAGAAGTCAAAAGAGGGGAAGCAGCACCCTGTTTCCAGTGAGTTTCTGAACAGTCCTGCTATCACTTCAAAGCACCGCGACCCCCTGATCCATGATTTGGGGCGCGTTTATTCATATTACCTACTAATGATTCCTGGAGCCCGTCTGTGCGCCGTGCCTTTGGACCCTGTAGAGTCAAGCTCTTTAGGCCTCTTGACCTTGACGTATCCAGAGCTTGCGTGTCCGTTTCACTGGTATCGTCTAAAAGCCTTATCCTCTCCTTGGGATGACTTATCCCATTGAAGTCGCTACAGAAATTGCACATCATGTTCCAGCGAAGCTAAGAGCAGTATCTACAAGCGGTGGGCCACCCACGAAGAATTAGCGAGCATCATGGGTCATCCTGGGGCGTGTTCCACGGCCCGGAAGCACTGACAGCCACTGCAAAGTAGGCGTCCCATCGTCCGACGCACACAGGACTGGCGTCTGGTGGGTTTCATGCGCCTACGTACCCTATTCCATGGCAAGGCATGGCTGCTCTGCAAGCCATTGTGCTGACACTGCGCTAAAGATATCCGCCACAAAGACCACTGCTCCACTGTCAGGACTTGTGCCGCAGTAAAAATCCTGACTGCTTGCCGTCCAGCACTAATCGGTGTTCTTCTCCTCAATATTCTGTATCCTTGCCTCAAGTCGCGAGATCCTGTGGTATTCAAAAGCCACTTTATTAAGTTGGCATTGATCTGCTGCCCAAGCTATCGGCTAACAAAACTCCTATTCAGAATAATGGTCGTTGCCGACTTCTTCTAGACAGAGTCATCAATAATCGGTTTGACGATGCAATCTGTCAGCCAGAATGGGTCTTTGTGGTCTCCTACGATGTGTGCGACTGTGGTGAGAAGTAATTCACAACAAGTATGCGACGCGTGCCCCACTAACGACCTCTGTGCTGCAGGCTTCTTTCTCGCAAAAAGTCACGATCGGGACCATCGTCAGCGACTATTGGGACGCACAAAAGCCTCACGCCCAACCTGAATGGTGGAAACAGTGCCAGCCGTTCAATCGACCCTCACTACTTCGACTCAGTCCTGGGATCCAATACCTATCGTTGTATTATGGAGCTTCGTTCAATCCTCCCCACGAGATCCATGGTAAGCTCCTTGCAATGATCTGGGAAGTTACCGTTGCCATTGCGCCATGGCTCGATGTTGTTCCCGCGGCGGTATTGGTTGGATGCTCCGGTATAGAGGACCTTCGTAGGAAGACCCGTGAACAAAACAGCAGACATGAGGCAAGAAACATCGCTCCTTTACCAAGCCAAAAGCGGCAGAGGTTGTGGAGTGAGGGTAAGTACTTCCCAGGTTACTTCCGAACCCCTGAACGTACAGTGACAGGACATAAGTAGGAATTCTCAATCAGAACTTTGAATACGCCATGGTAACTGGATGTAACGACTGGACTGACTTTTGGGATCTAAACGGTTATATGAAGTCGCGATTCGATAGCCAGAACTTCCATGTCCGCCACGCCCGAATTGTCAAAATTGACGGTACTAAGCCAGGCCACAATTCGGTCTTCACGCACTCCAAGGAGCCACAAGTCTTTCAGCCGCTCTACAAGGGGACTTGTCCTGGCAGCGGTGAAGTTTCAAATCCTGGAAGTCGCCCAGTCATTGCCATGAAGATTACCATGGTCACGAACTTCGGGGGTCAAGGCACATGGACGTCGCCTGACACCCAAGAGCCATGGCCACTGGAAGGCTATACACAATGGACGAAGGTCAAAAGTGAAATTCAGAATACCTCCGTCCGTGGCTGCTGGACATGCCATATGGGGAGCGACGACCACCAAGTTATCTACATCGACACTGCCGCTATCTCTGAGAACTTGACTCAATCTGTAGATGCTTGGGATGTTATAAATGACAAGGGACTTGTTCACGAGGATAAGGTTGAGAGGTTGCAGAATTTTTTTGCCCCTGAATTATTGCTAGACATGGCCCAGGAAGCTCAGTCCGTCGCCTGTTAGAGACCATCACGTACCTCGCACATGGCGGCGTCGACTTGGATAGCTATCAAGTCTGCCCCTCCACCACACCCACGCGCCACACAATCGGCCGCAACAGCTCCAGCGCTCAAGTCCAGAGGTTACGTCTCGGGGCCAGATCCCCGGTCTTGGTTCCAGCCGACGCTGGACCAGGCCATTGGCATCATGAGCAAACCCAGGACCAACTGTTGCTGGCGTTGTATTACTCCCACCTGACTCGCAGCTACACATGGTAGGATCATCGTCGAGAACGAGGTCAGGCGTCTGAGCCAAGAAGCTATGAGGAAACTGCTTGAACTAGTATGGTCGGAGAGGCTGAAGACATCCACGTAGCGTACTAGGGGAAAAGATATTGCTGATGAAGAACAATCTCATCATCAAAGATTGTCGAAGACATAATCAAGAAAACGACAGAAATGTAAGTCACTCTGCGAGCGTCTGGTCGTGGCCGCTCCTGAACGCAGCTGGGCGAGATGCAGTGAGACCATCTACCTGCTTTCCCCTTAGGCGCCAGGTCGTAGATCGTAAGATTGACGTTACCACGAAGTTCTCGGTATATACAGGCTCAGACTTTGACCCATCAACCCCGACGATTGTGAACAAAGAAGACCGAAGATCCCAAGGTCTAACGCGGGATTTCCGACGGCTTCCAGGGCGTGAACTCTCCATTATTTGTGATAGCGGTCAAACTCAGTCTTCGCGAATAGTTGTAGCATGTAATCCTTACGTTACTCGAGGGAGCTAAGCAAGAAGGTTCATTCTGATTTGATCAGGCCTGAACCCTGCAAATTGAGGCTTCTGCATGTTGCCATGCCCGAAAATTGACCATACAGCTTACCATAGGATGGCTTCCGACAAGCCGCTTTCGCTGCCCAATGGCAGCATAGGTACTAATCGTTGTAGCCTCGTACTAACCTTAGCTATCTGGGTGAGCTTCAAAATCTACAAAATCCGGGCAAGTGCCCCCCTAGCGACCAAACCTTCGCCCACTATCATTGTTCAAACTGTCGCCATAGACCTAGGGGGCTCGGCCGCCCTCCCTCGCTTGAGCCACCAACTTCTGCATCTTATGCAAGGAAGCAGACACCCACCAACTACCGAACCCACACCCTTCGCCCACGCCATCACCTTCGAGAACACAGGAAGAACAGTCCCGGAACAGCAACAAGCCAGGAAACTTCGCCATGGATTCAGGGGGCTCGGCCGTGCTGCATAGTAACCTGCAGCACCAATTTCTGCGTCTTAAACATGGAAGCAAGAGCCGGCTGTTCTTGGAGGACGGCCGAAGCATCATAGATGCTTCTGGCGGTGCAGCGGTGGCTTGCATAGGGCATGGAGACACCCGCGTACGAGATGCCATGGCGGCGCAGCTTGACAAAGTCTCATATTGCTCAACCATGTTCTACACCACTGCCGTGTACGAGCAATTGTGTAAGCAGCTTGTCGAATCGACGGGTGGGCATATGTCCAAGGCGCTAATCGTCTCGTCTGGTGCGTCACACAATCCTCGGCAAACCTTCTTGGGTTCCTTCGTTACTCACAGCGATTCAAGGGTCTGAAGCGATGGAAGCTGCTATGAAACTTGCACGACAATATTTCCTTGAAAAACCTGACTCAGAGCCTAAGAGGGTGAATTTCATCGCACGCAACCAATCGTACCATGGCACAACCCTTGGAAGCTTGTCCATGGGCGGCCACATCTCCAGACGAGCAAAGTTCGAGCCGATGCTCCTGAAGACTATATCAAGGGTCTCACCTTGCTTCGCATACAGAGGGCAAGGGCAGGATGAGAATGATGAAGCGTACGTTGCAAGGCTCGCAGAGGAGTTGGATAAGGAATTCCAGCGCCTTGGCCCAGAAACGGTCTGCGCTTTCGTGGCCGAGCCAGTCGTTGGTGCTGTAAGTCAGCCCCCGCAATTCAGCCGTCATATATTCACAAATGGCGCAGGCACTTGGATGCGTACCATCTGTTCCTGGGTACTTCAAGGCCATGAAACAAGTATGCGAAAAACATGGCGCACTTTTGATCTTAGATGAGGTCATGTGCGGAAGTAAGTGTCCCCGAGGCTCCATGCCGTCTCTATGTTAAAGTCAAGATAACACTGACTCAATCTTCCCCTTACAGTGGGACGTACTGGGTCGCTTCATGCCTGGCAACAAGAAGATGTTGTCCCAGACATTCAAACAATAGGAAAGTGTCTTGGTGGGGGTTATCAACCAATCGCCGGGGTGCTCGTTAAACACAAAGTCATAGATGCTCTCTCTCAGGGCTCAGGGTACTTCTTCCCTAACCCCATATGCAGATCTGTGGCATGGCTGACACGCTCAGGGCTTTTGTTCACGGCCACACTTATCAGGGGCATCCGGTTGCTTGCGCTGCGGCGCTTGAAGTCCAGAAAATCATTAGTCAGGATCATCTGCTCGAAAACGTTCGAGAGATGGGCAAGCTGCTCTCAGAAGGTCTGATTCGACGGTTATCGTCGCATCCCAACGTAGGCAACATCCGTGGACGAGGGCTGTTTTGGGGGATCGAGTTTGTTTCCGAACAGTCTACCAAGAAGTCATTTCCAAACGAGGCCGGCGTCGCCATGGGGATCGCCGAACTCGGGTTGACCGAGTCCTATGGTATTGCGGTCTATCCTGGCACCGGTACAGTCGACGGTATCAGTGGAGATCATGTGATAGTGTCACCACCGTACAATACCACCGCGGACGAGATTGAAGAGATTATGAGCATAATCGAAAGACTTGTTAACGACTATTTCAAGGAGAAGAAGGTGGCTTGCTAATTTTAGCAGCGGATTGCCATGCAGGCTTAGTCTCGTCGAGGCTCAATGACTCGGTAGCAGTCAGGGTTGATGCTGTCGACGATGTTGCTATCGAAGGTCTGGCGTTCTGAGTAGGGGACGAGAGTACACAGCAAGGCATCAGTATATGTACGCAAATCCTGTTTCCTTCGCTTTGTATAGTGTCGTTTCATCATGTGCATGAAGGCCCAACGTCAGGCGAATGGGGCTCTTTGGACGGGTTGTATTTTGATATTAGGCTATTTCAAGTTCGGTCAAGCCATCAAACCGCGAGAATCGAGGTTCACTGTAGTTCCCAAGCATCCGCTCCGAATAGACCTCCTACGTTTTAAAGCAACACCATTGCGACAACCACGTCATAAGCCAGTTGATTAGTTCGAAGTCGTCAGGCATTGGGTGCCTAGATGGCAGCAGTATATAAGTATGCTCCAGGGGGCGCGGCAGCCACATTACTAGTGCTTCATCATTAGGATCAGTGCTGCTCAGTTCAACATTTATCGAATTGGAATCGGGATCAATATTAAGTTCTCAGATTCTCGTATCTTGCAGGAGAACCGCCTCGGTGGTTCATCATTTCCTTCACTTTCTGTAACAGAGTTGAAGGTGCTAAGAACCCGGCCGCCCTCAATTCTGTGATCTTCTTGTCGTCGTCATATTCAGGGTTAGAAATAATCCGCCAACAATCCACTGATTGTACCGCTCTACTCCCCTTAGGGCCAGCATCCGCACAGATAAAGATGACTTCATGGGTCTCTTCCTTACGAGAACATTTCCAAACACTCTGTATAGAAGAGTCGAATCTCCCTTCGATTTGTATCCACGGTTCATATTGGCGAAGTTTCCTCGGCTGCCGGGTATTATCAGACATCCAGGAACCTTGACCACCAATATCCGTGACAATCGTGGTTTGCATACCTACGGGGCGGCCATGACCCCTCGGCGCTTCACCACTGCCTGGCTTGGTGCCGGAGTACAGCGGCTCAAAAACATCATCTCCTTCAGAGTCCTCGAAGACAGAGTTCTGATTCGCTTTGGTGTCGTCCAGCTTCATTACTCGCACGAAGTGGAATCTAAACATCCCATTCCACCAAGATTGGAGGAAATCACGCAAGGCCCACACTTGTTCCCAATCGCTGAATCCACTAACGGATGCGTTGGTGACGCCCATGTCAATAAAACCTGTTTATACACTTATTAGAGTATTGCAACAGAGATATTCTGCTCACACGAACCTTGGACCCATAATTGAAGCCGAACTTTGCTGGATAGAGGGATAATATTCTCAACACCGAAATGCTTATTCTGCTCACGGGTCTTCTTCTTTACATTGGTATCACTAGAGCAGCCAATCATTGATCCAGCCACAGCGAAGTCACCGCGATCCTTGGAATATTGAACGCAAAACCCGTGGACAATTTGAATGACCCGCATGTGGATGTTGTGTGGGGGGTTAAAAGTCGCGCCATAATAGAGCAGCCAATTCGGCTTTTTGGAGTCGAGCGGAGCCTGTTCAGGCTTTTCGAGGGAATGCTTGATCTCATCCGCAAGACCAGAGCACTGTTCCCAATAATCGTACAGGGCATTCCATAGCCGCTGCCAATTAAGCGAAGACATAATGATTGGTGATTTTGACGGCACCACCACGAATCTTGTGTTGAGAAGACTCGTGATTCACGTGTGCTTTTCTCAACGGCGCCTTCTTGCCGGCCCTCTCTTGCAATCAGGCCCTCTAGGCTAGGTTTGCACCATGTGCATCGGGTAGGCTATGCACCTACTTTAATGCGCTAAGCTATCAAACCAGGTTGCCGAGAGCAGGCTCTGCGGAGGTCCCGAGGAGGATAGTGAGCGACCACCAAAGGACAGAGAAACAAAAGGTTGCGCCGTGAAGACGCACACGGATGATAACGCGACAACCGTACTTCGCGACATAGTCGTTCCATTCTGGCTATAAATAGCCTGAATTATGTCGTGGCGGTCATCAGCCCCTGGCGTCCTAGCAAGACACCCACCGTAAAGCCTGCAGCCCCCACCTCTCCCTAATATAGAGCATGGGTGTAATTCCTAGGTAGTCTGTAAGGCCTGGCACTACTCTACAGCCCCTATTGATAGTGGACAGTAAAGACAGCTAGACACCTACCGCCGCCCGAGATGGCTTTCTCAGTTGCTTCTCTGCAGCATCTTTGCAGAGTGACAAGCTACAAAAAGGCCGATGTTACATTGACTACGCTCAGAATACTTAGCTATTCAAAGCACACTCTACATATATCGGCACATTGCGAGATTATGTTCCTGCTGTGAGGCAAGAGTAGAATGGTGGTGTCGAGGTTCACTGTCCATCCCGCATAGAGACCTCGCACTGCTAGTCGTTGTTTCCCTACATCTTTCACGACCCACCCGCTACGGTAATCTTGCCATCAAGAGACTCATCCTGATTGGGTGCCTCCTCATGTACGTCCACATCTTGAAATTGTGCAATCTTTGTGAGTAGAGTTTGCTCTTCCTTGGCTTGGTCCTGATGTTAGCACGGTCGATCGCTAGAATATTTCTCAGGACACATACAGAGTTGGTGTGGTTTAACAACCTCTTCAATGACTTCGATCTGCTCCGTATGAATTTGCTCACCCATAACACATTCTGCACCAGGCGATTGATAGTCCATTGTCATACCCGTAATTAGGATTCGAAACTTTCCTCTAGACGTGAAGGCAATATTGTGAAAAATGGCATAGCTTCTCGGAAGGGAGCTGGTCGAAGTCTGATCACCCAATGAAATGAGAGATTCTGCCAATGAACCGCACAATAGCCGGGAAGGCAGGTTGCGCTCGCCTGCTGGAAAGAGCTGTATCCAATCGTATGCCCCAAACTCCGTATCAATCACAATAGGATAAGGCATGGCCTGCCCGACCTGGAGTTTTTGGGGTGGACTCACGACTATCTTCATTGTGTCGTAAGTTTCGGTTCACGACCTGTGAGTTGAATACTGAATTGCGAGCCCAAATATGAGCCACAGTTTATCATAAGTAGGATGTGGTGATACAGCGTGATGGTGGACTTCCCCGTAAAAGAGCTGATGTTAGCTGTGAGAATCACAGGCCTCATGTTACGTCACTACAGTGAATGTTGGGCAGGAAGAGGTCGTCATGGCTGTGGCCATGTTCGGGTGATCGGAATTCGGCGTGCGTCGTAGCTATCCACGACCTTGGAGGCGTCAGATTATTGCCGTTAATGCGAGCTTGATCTCATGTGCTCCTACGCGACATTGGAAGTGAATCCAGTGTACGCCATCCCAGGCAGCAATATAATAGCTAGCTTCGTTTGCTGTGCGGCAACGATCGCCTGACCATGGAAGGGGTCGGCTTCACTTTGAGACTGCGGCCCGTGTTAGCTGGATCAGTCACTAGATAACTAGCGTAGCCATCTTGCAGGGAATCGCGCTAGATCATGCCTTGTCAACCTGCATGGCATGTATGATTGCCAGCCACCAAGGACGATACTGTATGCAGTGAAGGGGGCCACTGGTTAGCGCAGTTCCGATGAAGTAACCAGTACCTTTGGCACGATTTCCTAGGTCGGGTGCGCTAAAAACTAGCTATTATCTGGTTAAGCTTCAATCCCTGTAATGCGGCGCCGCTAAAAATTGAGTAGTCTGTACATGTTCAGGGATCCTAGTCCATGACCACATGTGCATCAGTGCTCGCTCGAGATGTCTCGTCACCGCATCAATAATAGTGGTCGTGGCCATGGCCAGCCGTTGCGTTTTGGGCTGCGCTACCCGGCGTGCTCGTCGATATGTCCACACCACAGCGATTCTTATTGCGCGACCGCCCAGATCTGTCAAGGCTTGCATGTTATACGGACCGCACTCTGGAACACGACCGTAGGAATATGCCTGGATACTGGCGGGGGGTCACATCAGACTCCCGTTTGGGGAAGTATGGCGAATACTGTTGATCCCCATTGCCATTGGTCTATCTATGAGACAGTGGCTTAGATGCAGCACCAATCTACAAATTACAAGCCAGGATCATTGCTGGGAAGGACCGGATAGGCGGGGATGGCGGCCAAGCCGCAGCCAGACCACATCAAACCTCCCGGTCCAAGGCATTTCGTGATCTGCGCCGAGGTATCGACCGGAACGAGCCTATACCACGTTGGGAGAGCTCGCTTCCCTATCATGTGGCTGCAGATTACTGATCTAGCAACGAGTCTCACTAGTCGTGACGATACAGCGGTTATTCAGCAATGGTCGGGGATTGAGGAGACTACGTTAGACCTAGGCTTCAAAGATGGACCTACCCTCCGCCAGTCAGGCTCCCGACGCTCGATCTAGCATGAGAGTACCCCTGTGAATGACAACAAAGGCAGGGCTATCTTCTTGTCATGTACTAGGATATAGACTGAGAACTAAGGAATGCTTTATGTCCTTCGTAGCTCTTTCAGGCTTGCTGGTCGAACAGCGCACCGCATGTCAAGTCATAGGACAGCACCAGTCACGGAAGACGTAACGACAGTCACCACGAACAAAGGCCAGAAAACCTTCTAGAACTCATCAAATCCGGCACGCCACCAAACACCAGCCGGCGTCCACTTTCTTCTTTTATAGATATGTTATAGCCACACCGCACCTCCCCCAAAGCTCTTTCTTCCCAATCGACGACGCCGACCCACTCGTCTGGAACTCTGCAGCGCTCTGGTCTTATCTGTCATGTTAATTCTGTCTCGCAGCTCGTCCGTCCTTTTGCCTACGACTCACACTTCTTTATAGTTTGTCCCCCCGGGCAGAAACTGGCGCTTGCTCTCTCAAGCCACTTACTTGCATCCAGTATCTTGCTAACTTACATCCCGACGTCTCGTCTGCCAGTCGAGTCCCTCCCTTCGGAAGCACATCACCAACGCCCTCGCCTAGTAAGATACCTCGTGACTGGTGGGTCGCATCGACTTGTCCACCGTCATTAATCTTACTCGTGTCCGCCGCCTACGCAGCTCGAGACTGCTGCGCCCGTTTGGCGTTTGACCAAGTTGGGTCAGTCCTCTCGGATGTGAGCTTTCGCCGTCGTTGTTTTTGACCGTTTTCTCAAATAAAACCGACTTGTTTCGTGGAGGCTACATCTAATACGGTCCCCATCGCCACGGCATGCTGCGGAGTCCGCTTCGGATAAGCTCTACCATCCAAAAGGCTGCCCTGATTCGAAGGCGCAGCCGGCACGGCTTCTCCCACACGAATATTCCAGCGAATCTGCCCTCTTGCCCTCTGACCTGCTCCGGGCTTCTGCCTTCCCTTCTCTCACCGGACCACAGTGGCTGCTGGCGAGGAAACTAACCCGACCAGGCGTCCGAGGGCGTGAGTGGTTTCTATTTCCAGATGCATGCCTGCAGCCTTGTCCTGCTAACGCGCCCCTAGTCCTACCATCACCATCGAAACCAATACCGATGTGAACGCGGTCGACAACGCCGCTCCTCAAAGGTCGTTAGCCTCAACCACTGACCCCTCGACGAGTCCCACCACCCTGACCGTGGACATGCCTCAACCATCGCAGGCCTCCACCAGCTCCAAGCCCAAACTGCTGGCTGCCAACTCATCCGGCAGCAAGGATAGCCGTACCCAGAGCCCACACAATGTTTCCAGTTCGGTAGCAGCACGAAAAAGTAATCGCTCGCTCAATTACCTGGAGGTTCCGAATAACCAGCGTTCAAGGCAAAGTTCAGTGGACAGTGAGGATGGATCGCGCTCCTATACGTCATCGCAAGGCGACACGACAGTACTGGGTACGACGTCATGGCAGGGCGACAAGAGCGAAAAGGGTGGCCACGACGAACATGACAAGATTATGAACGACCCCGACGCTCTGAAGCCTGATGCCGGCCGAGAAGCTGACTTCCAGGTGGAGAACAACCCATTCGCCTTCAACCCTGGTCAGCTCACCAAAATGTTTAACCCGACGAGTTTAGCTACGTACTACGCTATGGGCGGGTTGAAAGGTATCGAGAAGGGTCTACGCTCGAACAGGGACACTGGACTCAGCATCGACGAAAAGCACATCGACAAGACCATCACCTTCGAAGAGGCGACGAGCAAGTCGTCTAAGCTTGCAAATGAGGGCGTTGAGACGCCTCAAACCCCGGTCGCCCGGCGAAACACCGCTGGC